GAGTAAACAAATCCCTTAGTAAAAAATGCTTAGTTGCCAAGTCATAGATGGTTTCATTTTTATTTTAGTTCAAAATTGGGATATATGTTAAGAGTTAAAATAAATATAAGAGGCAACTGCGCATTTCCTCACCACCGGATTTAGGTTTTTGTTTAGTCGACATCACCACAAGTGTTCTTTTGACAACGAGTTCTCCATAACCGATTTCAGCTAAACTCAAGTGAAAATTAAATGATCTGTAACTTACCAACTATGCATTTCCTTATTACGGGTTTTGTTTAGTCGTTACCATGATAAGTGCCTCTATGGCAACAGTTTCTCCATAACTGATTACAGCTAAATTAAATCATCTGTAACTTGGCAACCATGCATTTCCTCACCACAGGATTTGGTTTTCTGTTTATTCGTTACTATGTCAAGCGTTCCCATGGCAACAGATTCACCACAACTAATTTCGTCTTAACCAAAGAATATCTACCCAAGAAGCGAAACTGAATGAGTTTTCGTATGTATCAAAGCAATGGAACTTAATACACTGGGAAACGTATGAAAATTAATCAATTTTTGTCGTTTGGTTCATTAAAATTAAACACATACTAAAGTAACAATGACAGATAACACATTCTTACTATGTTCATATTAGGTCTGTTCCAACATGTGCGAAAACTGTAATATTACCGTACAAATCATGCGCTCTATACAATTTTTGGGTAGAGCGTACGATTTGTACGATAATATTACGGTTTTCGCGCGTGTTGGAACAAACCTTATGTCAAATAGATTATTTTAATAATGAAATAATTCAGTAGGTACAATAAACAATACCGAAAGCAAATGACTTGGTCATTCTGCAAATAGGGAATTTTGAGAAAAATCATGGAACAGCGGTGCAAGGACCATTCACTGTATATCAATCCTAAGAAGACAGAAATAATCCTTTTCACAAAGAAAAGGATAAAAATGAAATTAAAACCTACAAAACACGAAACACAACTTTGTAACAGAGATGAAGTACCTAGGTAGCACCTTTGACAACAAGTTAACTCACACTTCAAAAGAGCATACATTACTTATAAACAATTCTACCCAACCGTAGGGCGCACCTGGGGTTTCTCCCCCCCAGTCGTCACATGGACTTACATGGCCATGACCTATGCTAATATACGGTGCAGGTGTCTGGGTACCGAAAATCCTAAAATTGACAGCTATCCGCAAAATAGAACAAATTCAAATAACAGCATGTCTCATCATAACAACACCGACTAGAGCCATAAAAGTCATTCTTAGTCTCACTCCCTTGATATTTACATCAAGTAGGTTGCTCTGACGACAATGACACACTTCCGTACGGTTGGAATAGAACCTGATGTAGGATCTGGTGAGGCGAGACGTGGCTTTTGGCAGGAGGCGCTCGATACGCTTCCACTGCTTCAATCGAACATGAACTTCATCTCACCGAGATATATCTTCCATAAGCCGTATTAAGTTTAACAAAACAAATAGAAGATCCGGAAGTGGCAGGTACGATTCATATCTACACCGACGGTTCTACAACAAAACAATGCTCAAGATGTGGAATATACTCCAATTCCTTAAACCTCAACATAAAATGGGCTGTGAGCAATAGTGCCAATGTAGTTCACGGAGATCACGGAGGTTCTCATAGCAGCAAAAGAAATAATTAGAAACAATATCACTGGTAGGAACATGTTCATCTATACAGAGAGCAGATAAACACTACTTACCCTGAACAGGCTACGAATTTACTCAGGGTTAGTACTAGAATGCCACGAAGCTTTGGCAAGAGTATCCATCCAACAATTTGGTCACCTTAAGATGGATGGATCAAAGGTTACGCCACATCGAAAGGTGAAATTATTGTTGATTCATTGTCCAAGAAGGCGACCAACCAAATAATTTTTGGACCTGGCCCTTCTATTAAACTGACAACATCGGTAGTGACAGACCTGATTAAAGAATATTCCCTTGTGAAATTAAAGGAAAGATGGGATGAAATAAGAAACTGCTAAGTTACCAGGGAGCTTTTGAGTTATCCTGACAACACTACAACAAACAAATACATGACTACGACTAAACAGAATCTGCGTCTGATTACAGGCATTGTGACTGGTCATTGCCAAGTACGGAAGCATCTCGATATGGGGCTGTCAGAATCCGCACCCATCAGGGGGTGCGAACAAAAAGATAAGACCATTGAACATATCCTCTACGATTGCCAGTCGCTCTCATTTATTAGAAGATTTATTTTCGGTGTGTATTGGCTATCGCATCGGCCGATATAAGAGAAGCACCTCTTGGCGACGTTATCAACTACATTAAATATGTATGCTGGCCCACGAGCTAGGAGGTGCCTATCATTTTAGGTGGATACACAATGGACCTAGTGAGGCCTAAGTGCCGTGGGGTAACCCATCCTCTACACGTTACATATCCAGAAGTAGTGTAGATATCTGTAAATGCATTTCGATTGTATTCTGATAGCAGTGACTTGGTTTTTCGAAGTGAGGTTTTCATATATTTTAAACATTGTTTTGTATTATTGTTTATTTACTGTTTTAATTCGAATAGTTTGAAAAACAAAAAAATAACATATTTAAATAAAAGGCTAAGAAATTAAACGATGAATAATACGTAAGCGTCAATTATCATTATAGGTAATACTTATTTAGAAATAAAAAAAAAAGAACATTGACAGCCAGATGCATGAACGTTCAATAAAATTTACGAATAACGCAATGTATTTTTTTTTTTTTTTTCATGTAATACAAATTTTTAATTACTACTTAGTTAAATACAACTACTTAACTATACTGCAATTTTCACAAAACGCTAATAATAATATACCAAACGTTGCTCTTCATAAATGACAGCTATATTTGACGTTAAACCACCTCTAAAACCCGAGAATACCGATCAAGGAGAAGCTACAGTAGCTGTCGGTGCCTTTGATATCGGATGTACCTTTTTCACAGCATGACTTTAATTGATACACAACTTAGCACGCTGAGAAAACATGCTTATTTTCTACACTGAGCGAAATAGTTTGGCAAATTATCTGAAATTATTGTTATAGTCCATGCGCAAATGTTGCAATGTGATTTAATTACATTAAAGTAGTTAGGGTTAATAGCAATGGTGAAATTTCGCCACCAAAATATAATTCATTATGTAATAATTAATTATTTATTATAAAAGTAAAAGATGTTTATTATTTTATAATTTATCTATAAAATTTGTTCAATATTTGGTTTATTTATTGTTAACAATGTAATAAAAGCCCCATATTTAAATTGAATTACCTTTTCCTTAAGTAAAAATAAGGTAAATAAAATTAAGGGTGCCAAAAAAAATGTAGGTAACAATTAAAAAGACATTAAGTTTGAGAGGTTTAACTAAATATTTGCAATGTGCATATACGGAGTGGCCCAAAAGTCTGGAAACGGCCAATTATCTCGTAAATTGCTAGTCCTAATTGTACAAAATTTGGGGTACACCTATTTTGGATACGGAGATTCTAGATTTGTTATTGGCAATGTTGAAAGATTTGCCGTTTCTCTTATATTATTAGTCACTTTGGTTTTTCAAATTCATCACCCTCTATATTAAGTCATTATTGAAATCTCATATTTAATACGAGTTCAACCATATGTAACACTTGATTTTATGTAGTCTGGAAGGTCTTAAATAAATAAAACAATCATGGAGAAATGTGGTAGATGCATTCTATCATCGATTAGGCTACTGTCAACTCACAAATGGAGAACATTTTGAATACTTGATAAAGTAACCATTATGTTAAAAATGGTGTAATTTTTCAATTGTTACGTTTTAATGTAGTTGAAAATAGTTTGTATTAAAAAATTCATTGAGAAAATTAGGCGTTGCCAGACTTCTGTTTTATTTATTTAAGACATATTTTTAGAATTTCTAGATTTATATTATATTAAAAGGACTTTCAAGTTTATCACTCATTTCTGTAGAAACAAGTGTTTTCTCGCAAAGTTAAACCAGATGTCATTTAAGGTTTATGTATTTAGAGTTAAATACCTGGCCTGGCTATCACCCAGACAATACAAATATGTCCATTGGACGTCCATTCGATATACAATTTTGGATGTCTAGACGTCTAAAAATGAGTTTTTTGGACTTCCGACATCCAATGGACGTCCAGTGAAGTATACAAATGGCACACTTCTGACCATTCAGAGGACTTCCAATTCTGGAATATATTTGGACGTCGAATACTGGAAATTCAAAATACGTCCAGGATTATATTTCCATTGAGACCACATCCCCACTTTTTTTGCAGAACCGCAACTCACCACACACTATTTTATATTATTAATAATGTGTTTATTATTTTTGCAAACCACTATACACCATTTATTTATTTTTTATTAAAAATCGCTTGACCTGAGCAGGCATCGAACTTACGGCACATCCATTATCGTTTTACGCTTTCAATCGCTAGACGAGCTCGACCAAGGAACCACATGAAAACTTTTTACTAGATACAGTTATAATTGAATAAGATTTCAAACTTCCGCTGATAGAATGAAATGCAATAGATTCAATTTGTCAATTTTGATTACTAAACTTAAAATTAAGTCCAAAAACGGACGTTCTCTGGGTATCGATATTCAGCTGTCAATTTAATTAGCATAAACGGACGTACACTGGATGCCCGGATATGGACATCCTGACCCTCAAATAGATCTAAAGTGGACGTCCATTGGACTGTGTGCATAGATGAATTTTTAGAAATAGTACTTATTTAAGTATGCACCAATATTTCCAACATACCTTTGCATGAAAACGTCAAAAATTTGATAATTGTCAACTGCGAAGTAAAAGTTTAGAGTTAATTTTTGCTAATTTCTAGGTGAAAAAGACACTTTAGTTTGTTTCTTTTATTAGTTTCGTTTAGTTCATGTTAGAAATAGAAAAATATTATAGGATAAGTCTTTAATTTTGGTAAAATGGAAATAGATCACGGGGAAGGTTCACCTTCCCCACCCCCACCTAAACCTCCAGATATTCATATTGTAAGCCCCAAATTGGTTAAGCAAAACATCTTTAAAAATAACGAAAATATCGTATCACTAAATAACCAAGACGAAAATTCAACAAATTTTTCCCAGACTATAGGTAACATCAACAGTGACAAGGTAAGTCAGACAAATTCTTTAATTCCCAACCCATTGAATGGAGCAGCAATTAAAAATGACATTAATACTAACAATATATCAAATCAGAAATTGCATACTTATTATAAGAGTACAGATTTAGGCCCATTACAAGTTTACATTGAAAATAACTGCACAGATTTTCGGGGTAAGTTAAATGCAATTAAAGTTAGTGAAATTATCTTAAATTTACATCCAGAAATTAATCTCAAAATCAAACAAATTCAGTCTATAGGTAGAAATAGAATCCGAGTAATATTTAAAGATTACTTAAGTGCAAATAACTTACTAAAATCAACAACCATTGGTCAACACAACTTAGTTGCATATATACCTAAGTTTTTAATTTACAAACTCGGTGTTATCAAAGGAATAGATACTGAATTGCCTGAAGAATTTCTAAAATGCAGGATTTCAGCTTATGACTTTCATAGTAAATTTGAGGTAGATTTCGTAAAAAGAATAAATCGTAAGGTAAAACAAGACAATAATGAAATATGCCTAGTTCCAACTACTTCCATTCTGGTTTCATTTAAATGCCAAACTTTGCCAAGAAAAGTACTAATTAATAAAGTTTTATATAATGTAGAAATTTACCAACAAAAAGTTCTTCTATGTAATAATTGTTATCGCTACGGTCATATTGGCAGGCAATGTAGAAGTAATAAAAGATGTTTAAAATGTGGTCAAGAACACGTTTCGGAAAGTTGCTCAGAATTGGAAAAAATATGTCTAAATTGCCAAGGAAAACATTATGCAAATGACATTCAAAATTGTCCGGAGTTCTCTAGGCAGAAGGAAATTAAAAAGTATATGTCTGAAACAAACTGCTCTTTTAGAGATGCAAATGATAAAGTTCCAAAAAAAAGTTATGCTATGGTAACAGCCTCTAATATTTCCAATCCTTTACATATTCAAAATATTTCCCTACTTTCCCCACAATATTCATCTAACTGTATTTCTCAATTTCTACCACAACAATCATCCTCTTCTGCTACTCAACCCTCAACAACGTATGCTACTCAACCCTCAACAACGTATGCTACTCAAGCCTCAACTTCATATACTACCAATAAATATCCTTCACAAAATAAAATTCAAAAACGATCTCGACCAATTTCACCTGATCCCATACTTAAAGCTCGGGAGTTAATAATATCTCCCACAACACTCCCAAATGTTACTGGGGGAATTATTTCTTCTCAAAATTATCAAAAAAATCTAAATTTTTTGGATGATCATTCAGGTATTTTTAATATAATTTTAAAAATCGTTTTATCAGTTATTCAAATAATTAAAGAAAAAAATCATTTTGAAATTCAAGAATCAGATATAATGTCATTAATTAAAAGCAGTCTTAATTTAAATACAAGTGAATGTGTGAACAAATGAAATTATGTCAGTGGAATTGTAAATCAGCAATCTCAAATAAAGAAAACCTACAGTATTTGTTAAATCATGAACAGATAGATATTGCCTGTTTATCTGAAACTCGTTTCACATCTGATAAATATTTTAATGTTTGTGGGTATAATATTTTAAGAAATGATCGAGAAGATCGATCTGGTGGAGGAACTGCCATACTTATTAGATCGAATATTTTATTTACAGAGTTATCCAGTAATGTGTTCCTTCCGAATACAAATCAACAGGCAGTTAAAATTAGGTGCAATAATTTAAATTTTAATTTGGTGTCACTTTACGTCCCCCCTAAGACAAAAATTTCCGTATCTCAGTGGGAAAGATTTTTAAAATCATATTCCAAACCTACTATAATAGTAGGGGACTTTAATTGTCATCACCTCGCTTTTGGTGGTCCCAATACAGATTCTTATGGCAAAAACCTTTTAGAAGCTTTAGATAATTGTAGCTTATTATATTTAAATGATGGCTCTCCTACATTCATTGGTCATTCATGCCAATATAAGTCAGCTATAGACTTAACAATTTGTTCTCCAGATATTTCACATCTATTAAATTGGTCAACGCTAAATGATTTATATGGTTCAGATCATCTTCCAACAATTGTTAATATAAATCTAAGCCCTAAAATTACTTACTCATACTCAAATCGCAAGTGGAATCTTAGTAAAGCGAATTGGAATTCGTTTTATTTAGAAGCGTTGAAACAATTCTCAGAAACGGAAATTAATGAATATAGTCAATTTATGGAAAAATTAGAAAATATAATAGAACTAACCATACCTAAATATAGATCAATACATGTTTCCCCAAAAAACAAGCATTGGTGGAATGAAAACTGTAAACGCGTAGTAGATTCAAGAAAGATTAGTTTTCAAAATTATTTAAATAATCCTAATTTAAATAACTTATTAGAGTATAAAAGAAACGATGCGGTGGCGAAAAGGATACTCAAACAAACAAAAAGGGATAGCTGGAAACAATATTGCTCAAGTCTTAACAAATCTACTTCAATGAAAGATATTTGGAAAAAAGTAAATAAATACAAAAATAGGAAAATAAATAATACCGTACAAATAGACATAAATGAATCGACCTGGTTAACAGAATTCCATAATAACTTGACTCCTCCATATGTTCATAGAACTCCATCATTAGAAAATATTGCAAAACAAACAGTGACCGATTATTTAAACCAACCCTTTTCTTATCATGAAATTTGTCTTGCCCTCAAAAATCCAAAAAATACAGCACCGGGTCACGATACAATACACTATGTTATGCTGAATAAATTACCGAAGAATGCAAAATTATCTCTTCTCAACATATTTAATAATATATGGACAAGAAAAATAACAATTCCTAAAGAATGGTACGAATACATTATTATCCCTGTACTAAAACCTGGGAAAAGATCAGATCAAGCTGATTCATATAGACCAATTGCTCTTGCTTCTTGTATATTTAAGACGTATGAAAAAATGATAAAACTCAGACTGGAATATTATTTAGAAAATAACAACTTACTTTCATCTACTCAATTTGGATTTCGCAAAAATATTTCAACTCAGGATAGTATAGCAAATATAGTAACAGATATCCAACTATGCTTATCAAAAAATGAATCTACAAGCGCTTTATTTCTAGACATAAAAGGTGCTTATGACAATGTAAATTTAAATATTTTATGTGAAAAATTATGTAAGTTAGGAATCCCCATAACTATTTCAAATCATATATATCATTTGTATAACAATAGGAAATTATTTTTAAAAGTAAACGGTGAATTATCTTGTCCACGAGAATCGGGCCTTGGGATCCCTCAAGGAAGTATTTTAAGCCCTTTACTTTATAATATTTACACGTTTGATATAGAAAATTGTATTCCAAGATCTACAAATATTCTTCAATACGCAGATGATGTAGTGATCTACACAAGCCACAAACAAATTAATTATTGCCATGATCAACTATTCAAATCTATGGAGAAAATTCATAGTTGGAGTCATGAAAACGGTTTAACAATATCTGAATCGAAGTCGGCTGTAGTTACTTATACGCGCAAAAGGTATAACCATCCAAATTATATAAAGTTACATAAATATAACCTGGCTTATAAATCCTCCTTTAAATTTTTAGGCATTATTATAGACAGTAAATTAAACTGGAAGGAACATATAAATTATGTTCAGAAAAGAACCCAAAATGGTGTAAATATAATAAAAACTTTTACTTGTCATAATTGGGGCTCTGACCCAAATGTTAGTCTAATGTTTTATAGAATGCTGGTTCGTCCAATTATAGATTATGGTTCAATTTTTTATAACACAGCAGCAAACTCACATCTTCAGAAAATTGAACAAATTAAAAATAAATGCCTAAGACTCTGCGTAGGATTCTTACCAAGCACTCCTATAAATGTTATGGAAGTCGAAACATGTGAGAGTCCATTGGATCTAAGAAGGAAATTTCTGAGCGATAAATTTGTATTGTTATCCCGATCAAAACATTACACAGTAATCAATAAATTAAGCAGATTAACTACTCTATGCTTAACTTCATCCTTTTGGAAAAAGAAAAAACTGCCATTATTAGTTGACAGTTTTATTTCTACTTCAGATGTCAGTAATGATCTACCAGTTTCAAATGGCGTACCGCTGTGGTCCAATCCATATCTGTCTCTTATTATGCCAGTTAATAGTTATATTAATAATAAATTCGACGTTGATAACCCTTTACTAATAAAGACAAATTTTTATGAAGAATTAAATACAAAATGGAAACATTATGAAACACTTTACACCGATGGTTCTAAATTAAATAATCAAGTAGGTTACGCTTTATATTATCCCAATAAAGAGATTCAAATTTTAAAACGTTTGCCAAATTGTATGTCAGTTTATAGTGCAGAAATATTAGCAATTAGAGAAGCCTTTTCGTTATGCCTAAATCAAGAGGAATTAAATTTTGTCATTTTCACAGACTGCAAAAGTTTAGTTCAAAAGTTTCAAAATTTTAATTTCACTTCTAAAGTTAATTACATAATTCTGGACATTTTAAAACTAAATTTTGAGGCAAGAAATCAGGATAAACTAATATACATATCTTGGGTCAAAGCCCATATGGGAATACCTAATAATGAAAAAGTAGACTTTTTGGCTAAAACTGCAACAAAACTTAATTACATAAGTAATTTTAAAATACCCCTATCCGATCTAAATACTTGTTTCAAATATAAAAGGGATCAAAATTGGCAAGCAAAATATGTAGAGAAGGAGACAGGTAATTTTTATAAATCTATTCAACCTAATATAAGGGTAAAACCGTGGTTTGATAAGCTGTCAAATAGACCACTAATCCAAACGATTAGCAGAATTAGAACTAATCATGCTTTATACCCTCAATATATGAAGCGAATAGGTCTAATAGATAATGATTTGTGTATTTGTGATGAGATTGCTGATTTACAACATATATTTTTGGATTGTATTCTAAACGATTTAGAAATTAATTTATTATACCAAAACTTAATTAACAACAAAATTCAATTACCTATAAATTTAAAAAATCTACTGACATTTGACAGTATATATAACATACTCTATAATTTTGTCAAAACACTCAAATTAAAATTGTAATTAGGAAATAGAAATAAAACATGTAAGTAGCGATGCTACCAATAAAAAAAAATTTGTACACCTGACTCGAAAAAATTGTTAAAAGAAA